TCTCCTCGACAGTAGCTGTAGCTCGTGAAAAATTAACTATAATTTATAGTCCAAGCTGCATTAATTAACTCTTTGCAGGGGGAGTGTTTCACCAGGCTTCTGGGAACAGGCTGGTGAGCTGCCTGCAAAGGTGAGATGACGTGCATGGCAGGAATTGTGTAAGAATCCCTGCACAATCATTAATGGCCTTTCTGCGTAGATGAGCTGTGTGCAGGGAAGTCCACCTGGCACAGTCACTGCCCCTGGCTCTCTTCTCTGCTGCCCTGCCATTGATGATAGTCCAGAATAACCGAGGCATGTGGTGGAAAACAGACTCTGTGAATGACTCCAATGCTCTGAATCTGCCATGTGTTTATGCTGCTCTGTCCTCACTGGCTGGGGCAGCAACAATAAAATGTGGCTGCAGATCATTCACAAACACATCATCAAGAGCCAGCCCTCTCTTCCCTGTCCTCACCTCTTTTCTTCACCTCATTATTCCTCTCTCTTCTTTGTCCTCACCTCCTCCCTCCCTCCTGCTTTGTTCTCAGTGCTGGGCTGAAGACCAGCTGAGGTCTGACCTGCTGATGGCTGAGCTGCTCCAGCCCTTCTCCCACCCTGCAGGGGCTTTCTGACCAGTTTGCCACTGTGGATCTCAAGGGCACCTTGCTTATTCCCCCTGGGCAGAAGGAAATGTCACCACTTGCTTGCCTCGTGCACACTCATGGTTTTCTGTTTTTAATTTGTTGAAGTACCTGGGGAGGTTCTTGGTTCATGGCTGGTGTCACTGCACAGCTCCCTCATCACATCCCATTGCCTTCTTGAGTGCTGTTCCACCCTGCTACCACCCAGAACTGCTCCCTTGCTTATTCAGCTCTGCACTCATCTCAGCAATTTCACAACTTTCCGAGTCATTTGGGATAGATGGAGTTGTGTTGGAGGCTGAATGAAGGACTTATTCTGCCACACCAGCCAATGGGGGGTAAAATCTGCCTGCTGTGGTACAGCAGTTAATGTGAAATAGCTGTGGGGAGTAATTGTGCCTGTGGATCAGCAGGCACAGTGTTTGGCACAGAGCTGTAACTAAACTGTGTGTGAGGTTCACTTCACCAAGGTCCAACATCCCAGATGACTCTGCACCAGGCATGCAGTTGTTAAAGTGTTGGCCCAGGCTGATGGGGAATAGAGCTAAACACAAAGGAACTTGTGAACCTGGGAATGACCCCACCAGTGTGCTGGAAACCCACTGAGATCTCCCTTGGCATCTTGCTCTGAGGTGCTCGTGTGTGATCTGCAGCCACGTGGTGTCACAGGGCCACGCTTCAACCCAGGCACAGTTACCATTCCCTAAGTGAGCCATTTTGCTTCCCTTTGTCCTCCCATGGAGCTTGGCAGGTCTCTCCATCCTTGCTCCCTGAATAGCTGCTCACATGGATGTGAAATCCCAGGTCAGGCACCTTGGAAGGCTCTAGAATGTGTGTTACCCCACACCAGTGAGATTTCAGGGTTATAAGAGAGACAGATCTGTATTCAGTGCATCAAACCTCACAAAAACCCATTAGGAATTTCTATGACTGGAAAAAATATCCCATAAATATCATGTGTGCAGTATGGTCTCACTATCTCCAAAGAGAAAAACAGAACCAGGGATGATCCAAAAAAGAATAAATAGAGATCATTGCTTCCCAGCTAGGGAGGGAGATGCTGGCTGTGCCTGTGATGCCACAGGTGGCACAGGGGAAACAAGGGGGGATAAAGAGTAGTTTTTTCTAATACAAAGGCCAGAAAAGGGTAGGTTAAAAATATCAAAATGGGGATGTGGCTTTACACACTGTGTGCATAGCACTGGAGCTCTTGGCACAAATATTGTAAGTGCTAGAAGATTAGATTTATTCAAACAGCAAATAAAAATATTGGTGGAAGAATCCAGCAAAGACCACTAAATGTGACAACACTGAGGCTGCCTTGGGTTGTCTCTGAGCTGCCCATCCTGCAGGGGCTCAGGAAAATTATCACTGATCTTCTTTTTTAAGCTTTGCCACTGCTGGGGCCAAGACAGGGCTTTGGCTTGACCAGGGTTACAGTCTGGAATGGCCTCATTTCCTGATGCTCCCTTCTCAACAGGGAGCTACCTCTCTCTGTGGCCTTTGCCACATCTCTGTGCTGACAAATGGACTGGAGTGAGGCGATTCCATGGCTCAGTTTTAAAACACTTTGTGCTTCTTTGGGATAAAAGGCAAGGTACTTGCAGGAAACAATGTTGAAAGGATAATGACATTAGAAAGATGCTTCTAGTAGGGGTGATCACCCGTGTATTTTCCTGCAGTATTTCCCAACCATGTATTTTCCTGACAGGCACAGCTCTACTGACAGCCGTCCCCTAGAAGTGCCCAACATGCCCATCCTCAACCATGTCAGGATCTTTTTTACCTGTTTAAAAGGGACAAAACTGTTTCTATGGGATGAAGACCCCATGCAATCTCTGGCTGATGAGCACTGTGATCCTCCTGTATCACATCACACAGCACTGCATCTTCCCATCCACCTTTCTTGTTGGGTTGGGTATCTTTGGATCTGGGGTGTTTCCTATGGGGAGGTTTCTGGGCTCTGTTTCCAGTTCTCCCTCTCTTGCTGTGGCAAAGTTTGCTCCAAAACCATTCTCTGTAGGGTTTATGATGTGAGACTTTGCCAGATGGATCGTTTTGCTTGCTACCAAGTGCTGTGTTTGATGGTTGCAGAGGTGACAGCTCCCTGCAGCCTGTGCTTGTTTTTCATCCCTGTGCCTTTCAATTTGCACCAGCTCTTGGGCTGATGAAGTTTCAGTGCTCCCTGATCCAGTGGTGCACTTGCACAGACCCACACTTATCAGAGACCCACAGCTCTCCTCTCCTGAGCAGAAATGTGCTACTATCTTGTAAAGGTATAAATTATAAAGTCTTGTCTGTATAATGAGTCTGCATTCCTCAGATAAATTACACAGACTCATAATGGCTTTGGCTTTTAGTTACCATTAATCTTAACTGCAAGGGAGTGCTGAATTTCCTGCAGAAGTGTGGGATTCAGATTTTTGAAAGGGTTTCACTGGAGGCTTGGTCAAACCAAACTTAGCTCCAGTGTGAGCACCCTGCTGTCCACATTTGGCTCCCAGCTGGCTGCAGGATGTGCCCTGAGGGAGCAGCTGCTGTCCCAGGGCTGTGAGCGCTCTGGCTCTCTGCTGGAGTGTTTTCCATGTCTCCTTAGCAGAGCACTTTGGGACAGCTTGCTGTGCCCTGGATAGCTGTGAAAAGACAGAGCCAGAGGCAATGGTTATTCAAGGCAAGGCATGGAAATAGCTCTGGCCTGTCAGCCAGTGGGAGGCATCCATGGGAATGGCAGACAATGGCTGGGACAGCACACGGGACAGAGCAGGGAGCTGAGCCGTGCTCAGGTGACACTGTGGGTGCTCCAGGTGGGCACAGCTCAGAGGGAATCTCCTCTGGACCCCACAGACCCTGCAGAGAGTCCCAGACGTGTGAGAGGCAGAACAAACTCGAGTGCCAAGCATCACCCACATGGGAGAGGCTTCACAAGGTGCTGGGAGCCCTCCTCAGCCTGGAGAGCCCAGATGTTCCCAAAGGAGCTGGGAATGCAGCCCTTGGCTCTGGTGTGTGTCCTGCAGCCCCTGCAGAGGTGGGGTGGGCACAGGGGCTGCCCAAGGAATGGGAGCAGCCCTGGCTCCCTCTGGCACAGCCCATGGCTCGTCCTGCTGCTCCTCCTGGGGCCCTGCCTGGCTCTGGTTCAAGCTTTCTTCCTCGAGTCCTGTGTCAGTGAGGATGCAGTCTCAGTGATGGTGTCACAAACCTCTCCAGGAGGCTCATTCTTGCCTTGGAAAAGAGGATGGAAGAGAATATCTCCTCAGAAGCTTTGTCTACAGCATAAAAGGTGCTGCAAAGTAGGCAGTAACCACTGCTGGAGGTGTAACTGTGATAGGGTCTGAGCAAGGTGGGTACTCCAGGAAAGGGGACTATTTGTAATGAGGTTAAGTATTCAGTTGTAACAAATCCATGCTTTTTAGTGCCCAGCACTCCTTAGATTTATGTGAAGATGGGTCTGTATTCCCCAAAGCTGCTCACCTTCTGTAACCTGTATCAATGCTCTAACAACTGATTTTTTTCCTTCCTAGAAGCCTTTTTTTACTTTTGGAGACTCTGCTTTGGTCTGTACATTTATCAGAGTCTCTCAGAGACAGGAATCACAGTGAAATTCTGCAGGTTTTCTTGTCACTTACAGGACAGGTTTTCTCTAGAAACCTTTTGTAAAGGTTTTCTCTAGAAAGAAGTTTAGATTTGGAAAAGCACCTGGGAGACTGGAGTTATGCTGGCTGCCTGCCTCAGCACGAGCTGGGGCTGGCTGGCTTCTCCTGCTGCACTTTGCTGGGGCTGTTGGGGCAGCCCAGCTGTGGCAGGACAGAGAAATGCTCAGGAGAGGGCAGGGATGGAGCCCTGTTCATGCAGCTGCTCATGCTCATGCCAGACCTGCTCCTGGCTCTGAAAACCCAACTGGCAGAGGTGTGGAGCAATGCAAAGTCCCTGCAGCACCTCTCGGTCTGGTTCCAGTGTCCTGAGGTGCTCAGGCCTCACAGCACATGCCTGGGACTCTGTGAATCTGCAGCTTCCCTCCTTCCTGACCCTTCCTTGCCTCCTGGCACAGCATTCCCAGCATGAGGGAGGGCCAAGGACAGTGGGAAAGGGGCATTTCCCTACAATTTCCCAAAAAAATGATCTTGCACCACATGCTGGCTGCTTAGAGGAAGATGAATTTTCACCTCTTCACTCACTTGGCCCCTTTTGCTGGGAATGGAAGGGTCAAATTGCAGCCCTGGGACTGAAGGTGGGTCTGCAGGCACAGGCTGAGGTTTGTAGCTCTGGGGTTTTTACTTTGGCAAATGAACTCGTAGAAAATCATCTAAGGAAACAGAATTGCCAAACAAAGGAAATAACAATATCTCCTTTTTGTGTGTGTGTTTTTGTTTTCCCCTGCAGTAACCACAACTCTCTCCTCCTGGTCCGGGCATGCCAGAAAATGCAACGAAACAGCCAAGTCCTATTGTGTCAATGGAGGGGTGTGCTACTACATCGAGGGCATTAATCAGCTGTCATGCAAGTAAGTGAGTGGAGTTCTTGTGTCAATATGGAAATTTCTTGGCTGAGGGAGAGGAGACCTTTGTGCAGCTGCCAGACTGGGGGGGGGAGCTCTGAAATTCTCCTGGCAATTGCAGTTTGAGCTGTGCAGGTTCAGAGAGGGGCACTAGAGGGGCAGGGGTGGGGAGCGGGGGGCAAGGATTTGTATTTTCCTTTTTTGTGTGCGTGTCACTGTTCACTTTTCCTGGCTTTTCTCCCTCTAAGGATATGTTTGTCCTGGCTGTTTCTTTCCCCTTTCTCCCCTTTCTCCTCTGCAGCTTCAAGGAAATTTGGGTCCCTTTTGCTCTCCCTGAGCTGACACGTCCTGTTCTCCAATCAGGGAGACTTTCAGGGGCACAGCCTTCTCCTCTTTCCCCATGACTGGAGGGGTCCCTTGTTCAGACCTGTCCCGACCTCTCCTGTGTCTCATGGGCCAGGGTTAACCCCCAGCTGTTCCCCTCTCTGTGCAGCTTTGTGGCCACTGTGTGGGATGTTTGTTTCCCCCTTCAAACCTGCAAGAAAAGCTAGAGACGTGTACTAAGTTATCCCTAAAATGAGCTTTGAAGGGTTTGAAGTGGGGCTGCACAGCCTGGGGGATTTGGAATGGGATGTGAGAGTTTTTCACTCCTGGTTCAGATCCAGAAAGCCCAGTGGCATCTCACACCTCACCCCCAAGCCTAGCAGTGCCTGTGGACAAGCTGTGCAGTCTGATTGCCAGTGCTGAGGGTACCTGTCCCTGCCCCTGGGCTCCTGCACAGTGAGCAGGACGTGGTGCCCTGGCTGTGCACTCTCTGAGCAGATGGAATCCTCTCCTGAGCTCCCCTGGTGACCCAGACATCACTGCCCAGCTCAGAGAAGCCCAGAGCTGACAATTTTCTCCCTTTGGAACCCAGAGACCTCTCAGTGGAGACACAGCCAAAGGTATTTGCATCTGTGGATGTCACCCAGCAGCACTGCAGGATGTGATGCTCATCAGGTACCTCAGCTCCTCAGGCCTTGGAGGCTGCACTGAACACAGCTCCTGAAAGGGCTGGATCACACTGAGCACAACTCCTCCCTTGTCCCAGAACTCCTTTGATTCTGCAGGGAGCAGCAGAAGAGGCCATGTGGAAATGGATCCTGCTGAGCTCCTGTGCTCTGGCTCTCCAGTGCAGCTGGGGTGGAAGGAGCAGCTCCCAGTCCTCCCAGACTCACCCATAGACACACAAAGAGTTGGGCAGGACAGAAACCAGAAGCTGTGGCTCCCACATTTCCCATGTGTGCAGGGAGTGGGAGCAGCCCCTGTCCCCCCCAGCCCTGTGCTTTGGTGTAGTTGTCACTGCCATCGGCTCCTTGGTGGCACCGTGGGCTCCTCTGGTCAGTGCTCCCCACAGGAAACAGGGGGGAAGCCCCATGTGATGGTTAAAGTCACAGGCACCATTCTGGGGTAGCTGCAGCCCAGGAAGCCCCAGAAATCCCAATCTTTCCATTCTGAACCCTTGAAGTGTGGAGGAGTGTATGAATCAAATCTGCAAGCAATGTGGTCATGGCAGGGGCACAGATTTCAAGGCTATTTCTTTTGGGAAGGACCCAAATGCAGATCAAGATTCAAATGGGATCAATTTCTAATTACAACAAGAGTTACCTGAACCCCTACCATGCATAAAAATCACTTTTTCCTAATGAAGAATACTGTGGTAGTTGTCAAATGCTTTCAGCAGCTCAACTGTTTTAACCAAAGCAATTCCAGCCAACCTTCCAAGCAGGGTGTTCTGACAGATGATGAACAGAGGGAGCACTCAGTGATGGATCCCATTAAGATTTTATGTGCCACACCAAACAGACCTAATTATTTCATATCATTTGAAAGCCTGAATTCCTCACTTTGCAGATGGTAAAATGATATCCTTGCCTGGTGAGTTCCAAGGTACCAATTGCTAAAACCAGATGGGAACTGAGCAGGCATGTGTGGAAGGGCCGGAAGGTGTTACCCTGAGGAGAGGCTGGAAGGGCTGCACTGTCACTGCTCATCTGCCAGGAAAGGTGAAAACAGGAAAAACAGAAAAACAAGGCTCCATGTTGTCAGGAACCCAGGGACCCAATGCCCTCCACACAGCACAGTCACTTCTGATCTTACTGCTTGAGGACATCCTGGATGCTCACTCTCCTTGGGTGTTTTTATCAGTAAATCTCAGACTGAAGATAAGAAAACCTGGCTTTTGAAGTGGTGTAATTTTAGTGTTTCTGGATTCTAGAGGATAATAGCTATTGAGGGATGCAGAAGCATTTGAACTGAAAAGTGATTCCCATAAAATGGCTCTCCCAATGATTTTGGGGTGATTTTTGGGGAAGATGCTGATGAATAGACTTCACCTTTGCCTGCAAGCAAAGAGCTGGGACATTCCTTGGCTTTCTCATTGCACCAAAGCAGGAGATCTGCGGCTGTGGTTTGTGAAAGACGCAGGAGAAAGGAGAAGAGGCAAAAACACAGGTTTCCATGTTCATTTCTGATCTCTGCAACAGCAGCCTTGGCCCTCCAGCCTGACTGTGCCTCTGAGCCAGGAGCATGGAAGAGATCAGCAGGTTCTGCTCACAACTTCTTCAAGTGCTTTGGAGATCAGCAAGAGCCACATGAGCAGCTCCAGCCAGGAGCAGCACGTGTCCAGGGCTTTGGGGGGATCATCTGGCCCCTGTGCCCCCTTCCAGCCCTCCCTCACTGAATGCTCAGGGGGTTCTGTCCCTCCCAGCACCCTTGTGATGTTCCCAGCCTTTCCAATGCCAGCTACCAGGGTTTTGGAGTGTTCCTGTTCACTGCCTGCCATCCTGCCATCAGCTTCTTGGGGTGGGTTCCATTCTTGCAGATGCCCAGAAGCACAGGAAATCTGTCCCCCCTGGCAGTCTGGACCAAAACCAGCAGATGGGTTATCCAATAATTTCTTCTCCTGATGTGGTTCATGCTCGATTTGCAACAAAAATTGCCTAAATTGGCAGCTGGCTTTTTATTATTATTTTATAACAGGCTTCCCAGAAACGTGTTCCTCCTGGTCTTTTAAATCCTGAGGAACAAAGTATTTGCTTGTAATCCCACTTCCTCCCTCCCTTTCTAGTATGCTTCAGACAGACCTTGGATAAAGCATTTTCTTCACTGAGGAAGAGCCCAGAATGGACCTGGATTGTTCCCGAAATTGTGTCTTTCTGGATTGTGTTCTTCCATAATTTTATCCTTAATTTGAAGTAAATTCTACACATGCTGGTGTCAAAGGAAGCCTGAACATAAAGTGATCTGTGCTGCTGTCCTGACTCTGCAAACAGCCCACCTGGAAGTCAAATGGGAGAAGTGGGACCTGCCTCAAATATTCTGCAAATTTTCTGCATAAACCTGGGAAATGACAGAGCCACACACAGACAGAATTCACTCAGCATCCCTTGTAAATTAAAAAGCTCCAGGATCTTTGACAGGAAGAATTTCTCAAGGCTTTTTCCAGATCATTTTGCTCAGAGAGGCCTGAGGAGCTGACTCCAGGGCAGGGACAGGTGTGAGCAGAGCACAGAGGGATGCACACAATGAAGTTTCCAGCCTTGAGCTGGGGCACACAGCAGTGGTGCCTGGTTTGTTGTGCCCAGTCACACAGAGCCTTGGGATCGCTGGCAGCCTCTGCTCTTGGATCTGCCTCCATCCTGGAGAGTCCTTGGCACAACTCAGAGCACTTGGAGGCTGCTCCAACCTTTTATTGCTGGGTGCCCCACAGGGCTGTGCCTGTGCTCTTTTCCCCATTTAGGTCTTGGCACACACGAGGTACAGTTGGGGTCTTCCCAGCCAAACAAAGCAAGCAAGTCAGGTCTCGTCACTGAGAGTGGCCTTCTCTGCCCACTGAAATGCTCCTCACATCTCTTCTGTGTGGTCAGTGGATCAAAGTGATCAGCTCTGGGCCAGGATCTTGTGTGGGATCAGAAGACTTAAAGAGCATTATGGAGCAGCACCCCCACGTCATGTTGGACCAGTTGTGCTCACAAGAGTCAGGCTGGATGATTTGCAAATGTGACAGATAAACAGCCTGGATTTGGGGTGACAGCTCTGCCTTATGTGGAGAGGCAGGTCAGAGGCCTGGACAACCTCAGGCAAAAAGGGAAAGTCAAGGAGAAAATAAAAAACAAAACAAAGCAAAAGGATAAAAGATCAGATGGTTTTAAAATTAACTGATGAATCCAAGTCACCAATTTTCAAAATCACATCTTCAAGCTATTATTTCCTGCAGATTTTCCCAAGAAACAGAAAGATCATTCTGAAGTTTTGGCCACGCTGCAGCTCCCCTGTGCTTTCTCAGAGCCCCATCCAAAGGTGTGACTGTCACAGGGATGCTGCATGGCCCCTGGCAGCACTGTTTGCTCAGCTGTGGCATCTGGAGCTGTTCCACCCTGCCAGTGGCATTTGGTCATTGCACAGCCACAGGGTCATCACTGTGCCAGGGGTGTACAGCAGCCCTGTGGGGAGGTGTTGCAATGTCCCTGGAAATGGAGAGCCAGGGGTGAAATCTCCACATCCTGTTCCAAATCCCCCGGACCAGCCAGGACTCGTTCCTTGGGGATTGCATGCTGTTTGTCTTGGGTGATGAGATCAGGTACCTTCTCAGGTTCAAGTGGCCCATCTGTGCCTCCAGCTCAGTGTCCTGTGACTGCATCAGCCCCTGAGGCCATCAGAGTGTGGAGCTGATCCTGCAGCAGCAAAGGCTCAGTGAGGGCAGCAGGTCCTGCCAACACCGAGCACTGAGCCAGCAGTGGGTGTCCCTGAGCTTTGGACTCTACTCTGCAGCAAACATGCCTTGATTAGCTGCTCTGGAGACGGCCTTTGTGTTCATTCTGGTTGCTTTCTCTTCTTCCCATCAGTGATTTGGTGGAGCCCAGCCTTTTGTGGCTCTCCAGAGCCTGATCATCTGGGACTGGTCAGGGGACAATGACAGAACTGTCTTCTTTTTCAGCCCTTCCCACAAAAAAGCAACGTGCTTGGAACATTTTTTTTTCCATTTGCTTACTTCAGTGCATTGTGTCCTTCTGCTACAGCTTGTCTTTATTGTGTCATTTCGAAGCACCTGCTCATTCACATTTTTATGTAGCATGGATTGCTTTATGAGAGCTGCTGAATTTGGCATATTTTAATTAAGAGCTGGGGGTGCAAAGGAAATGTGCCTACCCTTGCAAGATTTAGAGCAACAGCTGGACAGAAAAAGTTTTGCTTCCAGCAGGAAGACAAAAGTAGCAAATAATAATTAACAATAATTATTGCTCTGCCCTGATATGGGGCAAAATGTCAAAGTTCCTCAATTTTCAGCAATAAGTGCCCAGCAAACATCATAAAAATGAGTCATGCAAACTATTTTGGTTTGTGCTTTTTGAGATGCTTTATTTGATCATCTTACTGCATTTTTGTTACCATGTAAATATCTCACTGCAATTCATCCTGAACCCAAGAGCAGAATTTTGCAGATGTTTTCAAAATGGGGTTATTAAAAAAAAGAAAAGGTCTTAAGGTCAAAATTAAAAGAATGGGATATTTTCCAGCAATAACAGAAAACAGAATGTAGACAGAAAAATCCCTGACCAGTTTTATCGATGGCATTTGCAAGCAATTTTCAGAGGCAGCAATTAGACACAGAGGGATGGAGTTAAGCAAGGGCACTTTTGGGAGTCTCCACTCAGGCTGGAGAGGGGACAAGGGGTTGGTGCAGCCCTGTCCTTCCCCAGGACCATTTATATGGCCACAACCTTGTCCATTTTCCTTGGGGGAGGCCCATTGTGCCTCTGTGAGTGCACCAAAAACTCCAAAGATGATATTGGAGGGAAGTCCACCAGCTGTGAAGGCCCTGCAGGAGTTTTCCAAAGAAGGAGGGCCTTGGTTTTGCTGGAGCAGACAGAACCTCTTGAGTCAAAGGTGCAGGAAGAAGGATGCCATGATCAATCCCAGCTCACAGCTCTCAGCTGCAGGGAGCCTGAACTTTCAGGTGTGTCCCCCACTGCAGAAGAGCTGCCCTCACCACAGGCAGCAGAGTTTAGTGCAGAAGGGATGATCTCCACTGCTTTTCCTGTCCACACTGGGAGAACCATGTGCCAAGCATGCTGGAAATTTCTTTCCTTGAAGTCACATCTGGGGTCACAGTCATAAATAATAAATCATCTTCAGCAGCCTAGAAGTTAGAGACAGGTTAAAAAAAAAAAGAACCAAACGCACTGCATGCTCTCAAAGGTCTTCTGCTCACTGCTTCTGCCTGCAGCCTTGCTCATGAGGAGCCAGCACCCAGGTGTGCAGGGGTGGCACATTGTCTTGACAGCTTGTGCACAAGCTTGAGAGGTGACAGAAGGTGCTCTTGTTCAGGGGGGCATTTTCCCTGTCACTTCTCCCGGTGCTGAATCACTGAGTAACTCAAGATGAAAACCCTAGCTGTCCCAGACACAGGGGAGGCAGTTGTCTGCTGCCTTCTGCCTTGAGAGCTCCTCTCCCCACCCACGCCTGGCTGACTGCAGAGATCTGAGGATGGGCTGTATGGTAGCTGTCATGGCATCAAAGCCTCTTTGACACCTTTTTGTTTTGCTTTTTTTTCCACTTCTTACCAATTTCTTTCTCTGGGCTTTTATTTCCTCTAAAATTTTCCCATAATTTTCAGTCTTTCATGCAGCCTCAGTCACCCTGGAGCTCCAGCCTTGGCTGACCTCTTGCAGGTGTGCAGCTGAGGTAATTTTAGCTCCTTTCTGACAAAACACCCCTTTTTGGGGTGGGTGGGATGATTCCTTCATTCAGCAGCACCCGTGAGGCCCTTTGGTGTGCTCACAGCATCCAGGAAATGTCAGATCCCAGAGAGATGGGAAGCACCTTGCAAGCTAAACTGGATTCCCTTGAAGACACTGTGAATAAGTTCCTGATTCTGACAGAGGTGGTGAAAAATCTTCAAAAAGGATTGGGAAGACACCTTCTTTTTTGGATTCCTTGCTCAAAGCCATCTCTGAAGGGTTTCTCCAGTCCTGGGGCTGTTTTTGTGAGGCTGTGCCACCCAGTGCCTCAGGTTTGTGCTTTTTGATTGACAATGGGGCATTTCCTTCACTTCCCAGCACCAGCTTCCTCTGCTTCATTGCAGGGAAGGCCAACAGGCCCCATGTCTGATGGTGACCCCTTGGGCTGAGCTTTCCTTGGTATCGCTGGTTCATCTCCCTCTCCTGTGCCCCAAGATGAACGTCCAACAATGAGAAAAAAGTGCCAATTTTTAAAAGATATTTCCCTGACTAGGGAGTTCAATTTTCAGTTTCAGAAGTGGCTTGGATACTGAGGAACTGAAGGGTGTGACTGGAGAGCTCAGTGCAGCGTCGTGCAGAGTCATGCCCTAAAGTTCTCCATGAGGAATTTGGGGTGCACAAATAGCCCAACACATCCCCAGTTACAGGTGTGAGCACAGGTCCCAAAAACCCAGATGCTGACCCACATTTGGTCATGGCAGTGAGGGTACAGCTGGATTTTTTGCACAGCCCAGGCCTACCCAAACTGCAGTGAAATCCAGCAAGAAATCAAGTGCCAAAGCCAGGTCTGTGGATATCCATTATGAGGTACAACTACTAAAAGTCAAGAGTTTCTGCATGGAGCCTGCACCTGGACCTGGACCTGGACCTACACCTGGACCTGGACCAGGATCTGGACCTGGAGCTGGACCTGGACATGGACATGGACCAGGATCTGGACCTGGACCATCCCTCACCATTTGCACAGGTTGGGAGCAGTTGCCTGACACTGCTGTGGCTGCTCCAACCTCCTGCTGTGTTTTGAAGAGGCCTGGACAAGAGCTGAGCCACTGATATCAGATTTGGCCTCTGATTCATCTGTTTTTACTGAGGTGTCTTTCAGTCCCTTCCTTGCTGACCACTTGCAGATCACTGTGAGATTTTCTGGGTGGCATCTGAGAGTGAGGAAGGTCTGGCTTGTACCAGGTGCAGAGCCTGCAGCTCTGCTCACAAAAAGTTGGAAAGCAGATGTTGAAATGCTATAAAGACAAATCTCTCTTAAGCTCAGAGGAAAGAGAGGTGTGCTGAGAAGGGAGGGAGTTGTGGGACAGCGAGGTGAGAGCTGAGACTTGAAGAAAATTAGGGATCCTGTTCAGGACTATCCAAGGAATATTCAGAAGATGTGAAGTGAGGGAGGGAGACAAGGGCCTTGGGGAGAAGTGTTTGACCTCACCAGGCTGGGCTCCCATGGCTGCCCAGGCTCACCTGCAGCTGCAGAGGATGACAGTGCAGTGCTGCTCTCCCTGGGTGGTTCTGCAGCTCCGGCTGCACCCCTGCCCATGGCCCTGTGCTCCCCAAACCTGGCTCAGCCCTGGGGAGCTCCTTATGGGCTGGTGCCAGTGCCTGGTGGCCCTTCCCTGCCACCTGAGCATCCTGTGACTGTGTAGCTGGTGCCCATGGGCTGGCACACCTCGGCCCAGCAGGTGACCCAGGCCAGGCCAGAGCCTTGGAGAGTCTCTCACAGCATGTGAGACCCCTTCAGCTCAGCTCAGCTTTCTTCTCTGTCCCTTCCTCTCTGCTAACACAGAGACTCTGCCCGTGCTTTCTCTCTAACCACCCTGAGAACACCCCTGGTACTTCTGGGCTCACCATGGGGAGATGCTTCCCACACCCAATGCTCGCTGTCGCCTCAGCAGCTGCTCTCTGCTTTTGGTGCCTCTTGCCAGCCTGCAGAGCAGCTCCACAGAGTCTCTGAGAGTAACATCCAGCCCATCTCATCTTCCTGCCAGCTGGTGCTTGTAGCAGGTGAGAAGGAAGGAGGCAGGCAGAGCAGGACAGAGCAGGAGGGGTTTGGCTGCCTGCTTGAAGACCCAGGCCCAAACCAGAGCTGGAGCACTGATGTTGCAGGTGCCTGGTGAAAGCAAAGAGTAAATTCGCATGTAAAACCTTTATTTTTTCCATTCATCACAATGCACTTTTTATTTCTGACCTTAGCCTCAAGAACTGTGCCAGACATGTTCTGTGATTTCTCCCCTTTTCCCCTCCAGATGTCCAAATGGATTCTTCGGACAGAGATGTTTGGAGAAACTGCCTTTGCGATTGTACATGCCAGACCCTAAGCAAAGTATGTCTGAAGACAAAAAATGCACCACACTACTAAAACAATCCCGGGCACAGCGGTGGATGTAGCGTGCTCTAGTCAGGGATGGCTCTTGGTGTCAGCTTTGGGTAGGGCTTAGGGCCGCAGGTAAGGGTCAAGGCTGCGAGCAGACAGAGAGGAGCCGTGGAAGGGAGCAGAAGGGGCCTCACTTCAGCCTGTTTGGGTGTCATTTTGCTATCTTGTTTCTCTCTTTCTGGTTTTCTCTCTTCCGGTAGGTGTCCGATCGAATTCACAGGAGACCGGTGTCAGCATTTCGCAATGGTCAGCTTCTCCAGTATGTCTCTTTCTACTTCTCTCTCTCCTTGGTGTTGTGGCTCTGTGTCATGTCCTTAAAGCAGGTTCTTCTGTTCTCCAAGAGCCCTCTTCCTGTCTTGTGCACTCCCAGCTCTGTCCTAGGAGGAGCTGTGACCGTGCCCAAGAGGAGAACTGGGGCTCGTTACCTCCCTGTTTGTTAGAATGGGCTCTGCTTTCATTTCTGGTTGAGCTGAGTGCTGCTTGCTCTTTCCAGGCAAAATGCAGAGTTCATGTGGTGGGTGTGCTGTGTGAGATGAGCCTGTGCTGTGTGTGGAGCTGGGCCTGCCAGCATTGCTGTGCAGGGCAGGATTTGGGCATTTCCCCTGTGCCATCCAAGGCAGGGATTTGGGCATTTCTCCTGTGCCATTCAGGGCAGGATTTGGGCATTTTCCCTTTGCCATGCAAAGCAGGAGATGGACATTTTCCCTGTGCTGTTCAGGGCAGGATTTGGGCATTTTCCCTGTGGCACAGAGGTCACTCTGGTGGCTCCCACTGCCTCTGGGCTTCCCAGCCCTGCTGCCATGCAGGATACAGGATAAACCTGCCAAATGGGCATCAGACTGTGTCCCTCCTGGACACAGAGCTGTTCCTGTCTCTCCTAGGTGGTTGGACAGCTTTGCATGTGGGACTGAGCCTAAGTACAGTGACTGTGGGTGTAAATACCCTAAAGCCTTTGCACTCAGTGCTTCCCAGTTTAGTTTCCAGTTCCTACAGTCCCACTTATAGACATAACCAGCTCATGGTGGTCAAGGTGGATGATTTTTCTGGGTCCCTGTTGAGTCAGTGTCCCAGCATCAGTGGGATCCTGGTCTGGGTAAGGGCTGCCCTGGCAGGAGATGCAGTTACAGAGCAGGAAACCTGTGACCCTCCCTGTGACCCTCTGTGGGTGTCCCTGAGACCCATCCTGCCCCACGCTGGCTGACTGGACCCACCACAAATAGTGGGGTTAAAGAGAGGCTTTTTAAAAAGAGCCAAAAAAGAGGCTTTAATTAGTGGTAACCAGAGGAGAAATGCCTCTTCAGGACGGCTCCTTGATTGCCAGAATGCCTCTCCCACTGCTCCAAGCCTAATTCCTGCCCTCCTCATCCTGGACTGGAATTGCAGGAGCCTCATTAGCACGTGCTAATAGCTGGCAAGTGCTGGAATTAGGGTCCCTTGCATGGAGCATACAGACAATTTGCAAATGGACTTTGTGGGGCCCTTGGGACAGCTCACTGTTTTTACATTGCCTTTTGTTCCAAATTGGCTTCCCAAGCTGAAACCTCCATTGATTTATCCTCCCAGACTCCAACATCCAAGCAAGCTCTTTATAAAATGACAGCCCAGAATGTTCTATTTTGATCTTTCACCTGGTGCTAAAGGGTTCCCTTCCCTCCTGGGAGCCCTGGAAGGGTGTCAGGGCTGCAGCCAGCAGTGGGATGCTCACCCCATGGAGCTGATTTGTAGCATGTTTCATGAGATGGTGTCCAACGGGCTTAAACATTATTGCTGCCATGCTGCAAAACCAAAACAGGGGTGAAAATGAATTTTATGTCAGGAAAATGCCTTTTGAGAGCATTAATGGCAGGAGTAAACAGCATGTGGGTTTTTTCCCCCAGCTTTTTATGGGACTGAGATTTGTTTTAATTTTATTCACGTGTTGGAGGAACAATGTCAGCTTTAAAACTGACACATGTACATTTCCTTAGCTCAAGTTTGCTTTAAACCACAGCATAGTAAGGTAAAAACAGCTCAACAATCCAGGCTACCTGTCTGAACTTGGATAAAATTCATATAAGAAGATGATTCATACATGTTTATAGCTGTTTTCACTTTCAGGTCACAGTTGGGTAATATAGATAGCAGCAGCACTGAAGAAAAGCTTGCACTGAACTTTCTCTTTTTCTGAGTAGGAAAACCATTTCACTCAAGTGTGGACCCTGCAAATGCTTACCTTCTCCTTTGATCAATAATTAGGGCACAGGAGAAGTTGCTGATTTTCCATAATTCACTCAATGCTTCATCCCATATGGGTTCTGACAGGTCAAAAGCTGAAACAGATTAAATGAGGTTCAGGCATTTTCACTGGAAATAAAATAGCTCTGTCCTGATTCATGTTTTGAGAACACTGCCAGCATTTGACAGATACTTAAATAAGGACACCTATATTGGTGTTGTTTTAAATGTATTTGGGGTATTTCAGGTTTTCAGGCCTAGATTGGATCCTCCTGATTCTTTAATATGAATATTAAATATGACAATGACTTTTATTAGGTATATCCCAGGGCTGAGTGAGAGTCTGTGCAGAGTGAGCTAAATTGAAGGTGCTGTTCTGGAAAGATGTGGCAAATACTTTGCTGAATTTGGGCCACAGATGGAGATGGTGCAGCATCCCAGCATCCTGCCAGATGTTGTGTGTCCTCCTTTTGGGAGCAGGTTCCTGTCTCTCTGGTTTAAACCCTTATTCACATTTTTCTCAGGTAAAACTCCCCATGTTCTCCAGGAGCTCAGGCTGTCTTTGTTTCTTTGACATGTAGCTCTGGAGGTTTATTTTTCTCTGATTGCCCAAAACACCTGCTAGACCACATTATGCTGAAAATTAGGTGTATTTAGGTAGGTTTTCTCTCATGTGAGAGTTGAGATGTGATGTTTCTTTATGTTGCTGTTCCAACCATATGATCAGGTGGCTATTGCCAGCCATTCTGGATATATACACCACTGCTTGAAAATAAAGTGAAAATGTTAAAGATGGGGTTTTTTTTCATGTCAGGCTGCCACTGTTGCTATTTTCTACCAGATTGGTGCACAGAAACTCACTAGGAATTGTGTCAGTGGGGTAGCTCAGAGAACCCCCAGTCTGTCCCAGCTCTGTCCACACATAAGGCTGATGGATCAGGGTTAGGAGATAATTTTGTTTAGAAAACCTTATAGAGGGACATTAAAGCAACATTTAAATCAGCTGTGCTTCACAGCTACCCTGTTCTACATCGCATCAAGATCTTCCTCTATCTTCTCTCTTCTACAAGCAACTTTTCAGGTCTTTGTTAAATCCTCTTGGAAGTTTACCAATAACCTGCCAGGCTTTGGGCTGGCTGGTGGCAAAGGTTTTGTAAAACATGTTGGCAGCTATTTCAGTCCTGGTGCAGCTGAGATCCTGAAAGTTAGACGTGGTCAGCAGGAACATTTTTGTTTCCTAAGTCTGCACATTTGGATTCTTTCCACTCGTGATTTATGGAACAGTTTAGAAAATTGGGATAAAGTTTTATATTTATGCTTCCCTCTTGCTTGTGGAAACTGAAACTTCATCTTAACTTTGCTGTTTATTCATCTCCACAAATAATCATCACCAATCTGGAGGACAAATGTCATACCATTCATCTTGCTTAGTGAAACATTTTCATTTTCTACTTTGTGATCCAATTAAAATTGCAGGCTGTAGCCTGCCTGTAAACACCCTCAAACAGAGCTGACATTCATATGCAATGTCATCTGGCATATTCTCCATTTTACCCCATACTTAATTCTTGGTTTCTTTACAAATTGAATTCCAATTCTCAGTTGGAGCCTTCAGGTCTGGTTGGAAACACAGAGCAGGATTTCCAGCAGGTATCCCTTGGGAGAGCAGCTTTGTCTTCTGCTGCTGGCCCAGCCATCATGGAGCAGTGTGGCTTTAATGGGTGAGAGGTTTCTTGTTTTTCTGGAGGAAGGTCCCTCTCCCCAGCACTCCCCTGGCAGCTGGGAGTGACCCTGGGTGGCCTCTGGGACCTGGTTCTTCATGCTCATTTGTGGTGTCCTGGTGAGCACAGGGATAAATGTACCACCTCAAGCTCTTCTGGGAAGGTCTGGATCTGAATTTTAGCTTCTCTTCTCACCTCACTTATTCAGTGTCTTCCTACCTGCTGTTACTGCAATACAAAAATGATAAATGGAAGATTATTCCTTTATTTGACCTAAATTTCTGCTTCCTCCTCCACCTCTCACCCATCCGACCCCCAAACCAATATTTGGCAGCATTTTGGATTCCACAGGCATTCTGCAGCCTCCATTCAGTGTCAGGGTAACTGCTGGCCCTGAATCACAGGGTGATGGCTGAGCTTTGCTGTGGCTGGGGAATTGCAGGGTGTTTGTGGTTCAGCATGGCAGGGTGATCCCTGTTCCCAGGACACAGCTCAGGTTCTCCTTGGGGTCTCCTAAAGTTAATTGCATGCTTCAAATCCACAGCAGATTTCAAACACTCTGTTGTTTGGTGTTTGGACTCCTGATGCCAACCAAATTTGTTTGATTGCTGCAGCACTGGAGAAGGTGAATGGCTGGGGAGCTTGTGGAACATTTAGAGAATTCCTGTTCCTGGAGATCCCACGTGTCCCCCAGCTCCTGACACAGCACAGTGTCCTCTGTCCCCATTGTGTCCCTCTGTCCTGCATTGCTCCCTGTACACCCTGGGAAAAGCCTGAATCAGAGACCTGCTAGTGCTGCTCTTGTCAGCACAATTGATTAGCAACAAAATTATCACCAATTTATTATCCTGCTAGTCCTCAGATGTCAGTTCTCCACTTTGTTTCCTGCCTTGGAGCATGCTCTGTGTCCAAGAGAGTGCATTTTGAGGGAATAGTGTGCAGTAACTAAACATCTTATTGACCTTCTTGGGCAATCTGAAGACCAAGTGAGCACAGCCACAGCTTTCACAGCTCTTTGCTAAGGCTTTTATCCTTTTTAATCATCCTATAAATCTACAGTTCAGTAGTGAGAGTCATCTTGCTTGAGGTGTTGCTCCTGCAGGAATACTTTACATTGAATGTTTTTGTCTGTTCATCTTTTAAAATAACTACAATACATCACAGTCACAGAGGCACTGCAGATGAAGTAAATGCGGGACTTTGTCTTTTGTCTGATGCTGAGGAAAAACATTTTCAGAAAGATTCAGGAGGCACATTTGGAATGAGATTTTCCAAAAAAAACCCCTCATATGCCCAGTTCAGGGAGCTTGGGTGATGCCTCAGCACTTCAGGGTGCTCAGCTTGCCCTGGCCAGGGAAGATGTGTGCAGAGCAGACAGGAGGATGATGATGATGAAGGTTATGAGCAAAATGCTTTGCCCATTTCCTCAGCCTACAGCTGCCATCTCAGGGCTGTCTCACCCCAATTTATTTGAGTGGTAGCCCTTGGATAAATTGCTTCCAATGGAGCTTGTTCTGTTGAAGCTGGAGAGGGCAACAAGAAACATGGAGAGATTTAGAGAGCTCGGAGTGAGAGAACAAGGGGGAATGGCTTCAAACTGACAGAGAGCAGGTTTAGATGGGACATTAGCAAGGAATTCATCCCTTTGATGGCAATGAGACACTGGCACAGATTTCCCAGCCAGCTGACCTGAGCCTGGGGAGCCAAAAGAAACAGCAGCTCTGACATGAGAGGGGCTCAAGCTCCTCAGGTCCTGCCCACCACCTCTGTGCTCACCGGAGTTTCTGAGTTTGCAAAAAATCATGAAAATGTTTTGAACTGCATCCATTTGCAGCTGCAGATGTTGCAGAACACCCTGGAACAGGGAGGGATGTCTGTGTGCAGATGGACCAACGGGTTGGATTTATGGATGAAACTTGAGGTATCTCCACCTGCATTTGTCAGTGTCAGGGGAAACAGGTGTGTGCAGTGGTAGGAAGACTTAAAAAAAGGTCAGGGCTGGATGTGATAGCCAGGTGGTTTAGAATGAATATATTCCGTCCAGTTCTCTGCTGCCCACCACATTATGTCCATGTCACTGCCACAAAATGTACAAAAGTGCACAAAATGACTCTGAAATGCTCTTTTACACAAACGTTAGCTGTGAAGCAGAGAGCAGCCAGGTTTTGCGGCATTTAAATTATACAAAACCTTAAAGAACCCCAAATTTCCCCTACAAAATCCCCCCCAAACATCAGCATTGGTTTGGAGAGAAGAACCTGCTTTAGAACACGTGTTTACATGTTCTGTAACAATTAGTGCTAATTACCGCCCCCCCAACTAAATTCTGAACAGCACTGCAGAAGAAAGCCAATATTTCTGTGCAGCAAAAAGCAGTTCCTATGGAAAATATAGTAAATAAATCTGGACATCTCCAAGCTGCAAATAATCTTGTGTGTGTGGTGATTGGGAGCAGCAGAGCTCACTTTTGTGTGTGGTGGTAAGTATGGAGAACTTGCATGTTTATGTAAGGAAAGTTGTTCTTTAGGTGATGTCTGGAAAATGACAGGAATTCAGGAAAATGGGAAATGACTAAAATTCAGGATCCCTGTTTGGCGCTGTTCATTCATTGGACACTCCTGTGCTTAGCAGCGTCTCTGCAGGATGAGCTGCAATCTTACTTGTGCTGAATATGAATCTGGAAGCACAGGCTCCCATCTGGGCTTTGTGCAGCACACTAAAACAATGCAGAGCCACGGCAGGAGTGCAGTTTGGAGGGTCACAGGCTTGGGGGGATCTTTCAGTGCCATTTGCCCTTTGGGATCATTGCCTTGCCCGGGCACTCGCAGCGCCCGCGGCTGGCAGGGCTGGCAGGGCTGGCATGGGGGGTCTGTGTGCCCTGGGCTGGGTCAGGGGGGCACAGCACAGCCCTGGCCAGCCCCAGGCCCCACAGGACCCCCCCAGCCCCGTGCCCAGCTCCTCTCTGCAGCACAGCCCCGGGCACAGCGGGCGTGCAGGACCAGCCAGGGCAGATCTGCCCTGTGCACAGGGAATGAATGGTTTTCACCAGGCTCATGCAGTCTCTATGTGTTTTAACCTGTCAGGAGTTGTTTCAGAACAAGTGTACCTTTCCTATTTTTTTTTTCTTTTTTTTTTTTTTTCTCCCCTGCCTAAACAGTGAATTCCATATCAGGTACTAACAAACATGGCTCATCTCGAAAGAATTCATAATTAACTGAAAGAATTCATAATTAACTTCCACTGCAATTTGTTTGGGTCTTTCTTTGCATAACATGTGAGTTGTGGTGGGGGTTTGAAATGCTCTGAAGCATACAGTGTCTCTGTGTGAGTGCTGCTGAGCCTACCAAAGCTAACCTGCTGTAACTGCACAGTGTGTGTGTTTGTATTTTAGAGTTCTCTGACAGACCTGTTTTTCTTTTTCTCTTTCTCTTCCTTGTCTTCTTTCTGCATTGGCAGAGCATCTTGGATTTGAATTAAAGGGTATGGAACAACCATTCATTTATTAATCAGAAGCCATTAAGAGCTTCCAACATTATATTTATGGCTTTAATGGGATGATTAAAAAATCAGCTGTTCTGTTCTCTTCCCTGGCACCAAGATAGATGTTTGGATTGAAAAAAAAAATAAACCAAAAACCAAACAAAACAACAACCAAAACCAAAACAAAGCAAATCACAAATTCTAAATGCAAACCTATGAAAATGCAGGTGTATTTTTAGCAGCACTTTTTTCTTTGTTCCAAGCAGCAGCGTGGTGTGTGTGGCATGACTGGGATGTTACAATTGCCATACATCACCATTCAACATGCTTTTGTGTATTTAACTGAAAACCTGGGCTCTTGTGTCCATCCAAAAGGTTGCCAGCAGGCACTGCTTGGGGACAAGCAGGAATTCCAGGAATGGGAAGAGAAGTTCTAGAAATATCAGGGCTGTTATAGAAATTGCCATCCCAGTCACACTAACCTCCACCAGATCCTGCAAAGGGTCAGGATGAGCTTTGCCATTCCTCCTCCCAAAATTTAGCAGCTCCTTTTGGTTCTTGAGCAGGGTGAAATTGGGCCAAGAGAAATAGTGCCATGAGACAAATTAGTCTAGAAAACCATCCCAGGGAAGTCAGGAGCTGCCCATGAGAGTGGAGGGTGTAATGCTGAGCACCCCAGTGGCAGGATTGGGAAAACACAGCAGTAAGTTAAATGCTTTTAAAAATATCCCCTTTGGGCATTTACCTGCTCCTGCCCAGTTACTCATAATCATATTATTTTCTTTCCATTCTCCTCAGTCTGGTTTTAGATATATATCAAGTTATCCCTTGAATAAGCAGTTGGGAAATCAAATCTTTGAGGCACGTTTTCCCTGGGGGGTGCAAGGCAAGAGCAGGGAGGGCTGGTCAGGAGGGAGCAGAGGGGCTGGGCAGCCTGGGATGGTGCAAGGGGGTTGGAACAAGATGAGCTTTAAGGTCCCTTCCAACCCAAACCGTTCAAGGATTCTGTGATGATTCTATGATTCATTACTTAACCTAAAATCACTGGCCTGGCAGTGTCAGCCAGAGCAGATATTCACACAGAGATGCTTCAATTCCCTTTGCTAGAGGTATGAGGACACCAGTCTTCCAGTTGTGGATCCTAAATTTCCTTGTGAGGTCCCTGAGGTGGAGGGGCATTGACTAACTGAGGCTGGAGAAATGGATCTCCTCTAGTTTTGGCATGCCTGATCCCCCAGGACTGGTGTGCATCCCCCTGGAGCAGAAAATGTGGGAATTTTATAGCCAGGGAGCTTCAGAGAAAGCGGTGCTGCTAATGCTAATACACTTGGCCAAACCTTCAAATTGAGGATTTTTGACATCCCTTTTTTGTTGACCTTTTGTCCTGTTCCCCATCCATGCTCCATGTCACCACAGAAGCACACACATCCTGTCCGCAGCGTCTCTCACCTGCCATTTGTCTGTCACTGTCCTGCCTTGCTGTGACACCATGGCTGCCCCGTGGCTCTGCTGGCATTGTGTGGCCCCACGTGGTTTGTTCTCAGTGTCTGCTGCTGTACAAGTGATGGTGCTGCTGATGAAGATGTGTTTGTAGAGCACAGAGACACGAATGGACCTGCTCTGGGATCTTCCCTGCTCAGATACAAAGCTGCAGCCTGCACTCTCTCGTTTCCTTTCTGTTGCTGTTGAGATGGGTCTGCCCCAAGTGATTAGTGGAAATGGTCCTTCCATTTGTCCTGTCTCAGGGTTTCTGATTAAAACTGGAGGGTTTTCTTTCAATTCTGCCTGTGTGCTATTTGAAAAGTGCCTAAAAAGTGGAGGGTTAGGTTCTGCAAATGAGCTATTCAAAAAATGAAAAACATATAAAGCTTTGCTCAGCCGCATCTGAGGTGTTGCTTGGGCCACTCCCCCCTTCTGTTGAAGAGGGAGAAATTTCTCAGTAGCAGTGTCCCTGGTCACACAACGTGAAGATGCTGCTATTGAGCATCAGCTTTAATGAGATGTTGGGAGCCAAGCTAAATTACTATCAGCAGATCATTCAATTTTTAGTTTGCAGCAGTGATGCACAGCCTCACACTTCACTGCTTCGTGTGGCAGAGCTGTCAGCTCCAGACAGAGAGGCCAAATCTGCATTTCTGATGAGCTGAAACATTCCCCTGCAGTTCAGGTGAAGGTTCAGGGCAGTCAGACCCACCAGAGTCCGGGTCCCATAATGACATGACCACCAGAACCAAGGCTGGGATTTGAGCCCTGGCCAAAGAATTTTGTCCTGTTATAGGTAAAAAAACCCAGCCAAAGAAACAAACAAAAAACCCCCCCAAAAAAAAAAAAACAACCCACAAAAAAACAAACAAACAAACAAACAACCTATAGTTTTAATGTCTTTGTTCTTTCTTCCTCCTTCATGATTCAAAAGGAATTAATTCTGCTTAGAGACAAAAGTCTTTGTAGCAAGAAGCATTGCTATTGAAGGATTTTTGCTGAAAACTGATCTCCCTCCCAGCCTTTTTATTTTTTTGGTGTTTTTTTGGTTGAAGTGGTTTTTGCTGAGAAGTAGCAAAATTCTTGCCCAGTGCCATCCACATAACCAGGATGTGATCCCCGCTGGTTTTCCTAATTTGTATAAAATCTCTGAAACTCCTGTCTGAAGGAGGGAGCTGTACAACTGTAATCCAGGTCCCAAAGTTGTGCAACAGCAAGAAATTGTGTCTGCCATGGTTGCTGATGCCTGGGTAAGGCACCCATACCAAAGAAGTGTCCTTGAAGGAGGAGTTTCACCCCAGAGTGGGCTCTTCTCCCATTCCAGCTCCACCTGGTTCCTTGTAGGGAAAAAAAACCCCATAAGAAACTTTGTTTATTATATTTTGTGTCTTCATGCCAGGGTTGTTTTTCTTGCCAGTCCTTGTTTACCAAATCTTTGTCCCATTCCCATTTTGAGAGTTAGAAAGAGGTATCTATTTTTCCTAGCACCATTTTTTTTCTCCAAAAATACTTTTTTCAACCAGAAAAAACTAGAGTGGCAAGCTGAAATTGTTCTAAATATTCAGTTGTCTGGAATGTTTCATTGCTTCCCATTCACTTTTCTTTTTTGCAAAAGTCTAGTCCCAGGGGTTTCTGGAACCAGACCTGTTTCTTTTCTGGTTTTGTATTTGAGTGTTTGGTGGCACAGGGGGTGGAACATGGTCTGTTCAAGGTATTTTGAGTGGTGTGGGGAAGCACACTGGGCACATCAACCATGGCATGACTTTTACTGCTAATCTAGATAGGAAGAAAAAAAATCAATGAATATTAAAGAAGGCACAAACCCCAAAAATTTTAACACATAGTGTGGGGACACGAGGTCTTTGTTCATGGCTGCTGAGCTGAAACCCTCGTGGCAGCTCTGCACTGAATCCTTCTCTCAGTCATCCAGTGGAGAACCCAAATTGCCTCTGCTGCTCCTGGCAGGGGTTGCTGGATGTCGCATCTGTTCTGATGTGGCCAGGAAGGAGGAGGTGTCCTAGCCATGGTGTTGCTGCCTGGGTCAGTGCAAACGAGATCTGAGCATCTCCTGGGAGCTCTGGTGGATGGGAATGAATCCCTCCCTTCCAGCCTGGGTTTTGGTGCAGGTGACTGGCTCTTGTGACACTTGGTGGTGTTTGGGAGGCAGCAGCAAGCTGCTTACACTTTGTGTGTGCCTCTGAGCTGCCTGGTGCAATGGTATCAATCTCCTCCTAGGGTTTCATTGAGAATCCATGACTGGTTCCTGTATTTCAATCACTCCACTCCCTTTTCTTTGCCTGACACACTATCACTTCTCCATCCTCATGCTGCTTTTTGACCGTTCCAGGATGTCCCTTTCAGCCCCTGCATGCTTTGGGGGCTGTTGCTCCAGGGCATGCAGCTGCTGGAGGCAGAGGCATCCTGAGCCTGGGGTCAGGGACCACAGGGCTCCTGTGTGTGCTCCAGGGCTCCTGGGCCAGCTGGTCAGGGCACCAGAGAGGGGGGATCTGCTGGAAGGGAGAGGGATTCATGGGGCTTTGTGAGATTAGCCACAGTGGGAAAGGAAGGGAAGGTGAGAAGCGTGAGTGCAGAAGAGGTGAGCTACCAAATGAGAGAGGGCAAAGGCACAGGGAGACAAAAAGGGTCTTTTGAGGGGTGAGGAAGGTTGGCCAGCTGGGCTCAGGTGTGGGGCAGCCATTAGGCAGGCAGGGGATTGGCAGGAGCTCTGCCCGAGCCCTGTCCTCCGTCTCACCCCCATGCAGTGCTGGTTCCCCTGCAGCCAGAAGCAGCCCAGGTGCTGGAGCCCATCAGTAACTAGTTCCTTTCTCTCCATTTGCAGAGGCAGAGGAGCTCTACCAGAAGAGGGTTTTAACCATCACGGGAATCTGTGTGGCCTTGCTTGTGGTGGGCATCGTCTGTGTGGTAGCTTACTGTAAAACCAAGTGAGTATGGGGGGCTCACAGGCAAGAACTGCCTACAGGTTAGTGAGTGCCAGTGTTCATGTTCCACACGTCCATGCTCTTCACCCAGATGCTAATTTTAGGAGATGATGTGCTGTGGTACTCCCAGGGAGGTCTCATGCGGGAGGCCAGGGAAGCTCCTACCAGACTGTGTTTGAATAGGATGTTTTCCTGACACCATTTGCTTGTCTCCTGGAACATCATTTTGCCCAGACAAGCAGCAGTTCCCTGGAACATAGTTTGCCCAGACAGGCAACATTTTGCTGTGTTACAGGGAAAAGGTGGCCCCCAAGCCAGCAGCTCAGCTTCTGCCAGCAGGAGCACACTGGGCTGCTGTGCAGGAGCTGTGGGCTCAACTATGCACATTGCAGGGACTTCCAGAGTGATCCTAATGGAACAGGAGACCTGGGAACCTCTTTTATGGTCAGCCTTCCCTGCCTGGACAGCACTTTTCTCCCAGCTCAGCCTGCACCTCAGTTCAGAGTGCCCCTGCAGTCAGTGGGTCTTGTGGAGCAGATGTCTCACCCTGGGCAGGCTTTGCCGCTTTGTCCCTCAGGCAGGACAGGTCAAGTGCTTTGTCACCAAGCCCGAGTCAGGATTCACTTCCCCTTCTCCTTCTCCCCACTTTTCTCCTCCACTGCCAGCTGGCTCTGCTACATTGTGCTGGGCCTTGCCTTGGAAACGGGACCCTGGACCCAAGCTTCCCAAACTGTCCATGAGAAGGAAAGCTGACCTTTTGTTTGGAAAAGCAGTTGGAGCTGTTAAGTGTTGGATGCCTTGTTTTGTGTTGTTTGCAACTCTCTGCAAATACCACTGGAATATTCCCATGTTGAAGACTTGCCTTCTCTTTCATCTCTGGGGGCACAGAGCCCCATGATGGAAGGGTTCCTAATAGATTTTTTCTGTTCTAAAGGAAACAAAGAAAACAAATGCATAACCACTTGCGGCAGAACATGTGTCCTGCGCATCAAAACCGGAGCCTTGCCAATGGGCCAAGCCATCCACGTTTGGATCCTGAGGAAATCCAAATGGCTGATGTAAGAGCCTCTGCCTCCATCTCTCTGCATGCTCCTGAGGGGATGTTTTCTGCCAGGGGTTTGACATGGATGTGGATCCTTAAACACCTGTGTGCTTGTGTGTGAGGAGGAAAGCCCAAACAAACTTGAGCAAAAGGAAAGATTCTGCATAGAAACATTTCCAAAAGCAACATCTGAAGGGGAATTTGATTTTGCTTTGAAGTGCATGATGAGATTCAGGCATTTAGGATAGGCTTGTTTTGATTAATCAAGTGTGACCCTGATTCCCACTAGGAGAGATGTTCCCAATGTTTCCTGTTTATTACTCTCTCCTGTCAAGTCCCACTTGGTGGGGTGACAAATGGGATCAGCACGGCAGTGACCAGAGTCACCGTGGTGAAATACATCATGGCGCTGTGGTCAGCTGTCCATCAACCCACCTGCCCGTGCCAGGGGTTCTGTCCTGGTGGGGTGCCACTGTCACACCAATGAGAACAGTCTAAGTCTCTCTAGGACAGGATCCAGAGGGCAGTTCAGCCACTTTCATGACTTCAGTCGTGCAAGATTCCCTTTAAATACTGTGAACTCAAGGGCCATCAGTGGGCTGAAGTGCCTTGCTGGACCAAGGCCTTGAAAGGGGTCAGGAAAAGGGAAGGGGGAGGCAGAGGTGAACAAGAAGTAGCTAGAAATAAATCCAATGAATCAGCTGCAAACTCTGTTGGGTCAACCTTAGGATAATAAAATTTAGCTAGGTTGGATCCCGACCATGAAGGAAGGGGAATGGGAATTCTAAGAACCACAGCCCCCTGCCCCACAGTACTGACTCTCAGAGAGCTTAGTGCCCCTGTGAGAAGCAGGGCTGGTTGTTAGATGAAGGAACATCTCAGCATGAATATTTGGATCACATCTGGAGTTCCTGTAGGACTCACATCTCTGACAGATTTCACGTTGTTCTCTTTTGGCTGGTACTCGATCAGGTGTAACCAGCTGTGGGCAGAGATGTGTCTCTGCTCAGTAGCTGCACATGGCACCACTGTCCTTTGGGGAATCCCTTGGCTCTCCAAACCCTTCTGCAATCCCTGTGCCACAGCCCTTTCCCAGTGTTCAAAGGGAAGGGGCAGAGAAAAGCCTCCACCCTCCTTGTCCCTTCCTGTGGGGTGCAGAGCTTCTGGGTTCACTCAGTCCTCACTGATTTCACCAGAAATAATCAGGCCAGCTAAATTTTTCTTTGGCAGCATTCACAGACTGGTGAATGGTGGCTTATCTGTGTGATTTTTGTTGTTTTGCAGTATATTTCTAAGAATGTTTCTGCCACCGAGCACGTGATCCGAAGGGAAACAGAGACAACCTTCTCGGGAAGTCACTCCTGCTCCCCATCCCATCACTGCTCCACAGCCACTCCAACCTCCAGCCAGAGGTGATGTATTCCATTTTCTATGGACCTTCTCCTGCTATTTGCTGTAGGATGCTGTGAGATTCTAAGATTTTCCTTTCACCTCCATTTCTGTTTTCACTTCATGTCTGTCTCTGTAGTGGCATACAAGCCATGTCGACACTGCAGGACTCTGCAAGCACAGCTGGTTAGTGAGAGGCGTGGAAAAGTGTGTTCCTTGGCCTGCAGAGAGGTGCCAGCAGGATCCTGCAGCACTGACATAGCTGGAAAACAGGAGGAAATGAGCCTGTGCTTCCATGCTTTGCACAGACCCAAACAGGAGGATGTGTGTAGGAAAGGTTTTGCAGGTTGTGTCTGAAATACTTAATTAAGCACACACAGGGTTGTGTGTTTCATATTTAGAATTTATTTGCTTTGTGGGAGATAAACTACACAAAATATGACCAAATGTTTTGATTGCTTCCTCAGAGTCAAGGTGTGACTTGGAAGTCACAGGTTTTGACCAGAAAGAAAATGATCCTGTGCAATTTATCAGCCTCCACCTCAGGCGGTGGCTCCTCTTTCACTGAAGTCATTCTGAAGCTTTTTGGAAAATTTGGTCTAGGAGGAAAGTACCAATAGTGCTTTGTGACAAAGGATGAGACATATTTTTTGTTTTCATTTCAAAATAACCACTGGGGGAAGAACCCCATGGCTTGGAACCCGAATCTTCTCCAGGTTTCTTAGAACATTTAAATAGCAGATGGACCTCTCTATTTTTATGATGTCCAAAAAAGTCTTTCTTTCAAATGCTCTAAAGGAACTCCTGTGCTGCTTTGAGTTTGGATGTTCCAGTTCCTCCTCCTGGACAGCTCTTGTGCTTCTTCCAGTAGGTGACAGGGGTTTTCCTTGGAGATCTCTTACCCTTGATAGGTGACTGGTCATGTCCTTCATTAGCCTGGTGGGGGGTTGTCTCCATTCATCTGGGAATGCAGGAATTCTTTCAGCTGAAGCTCACAGATGGCTCCAGGCAGGTTTCCTTAGGGCCCAGGCATTCCTCAGGGTTGAGCAAGTACTCTCAGTTACAGCAGGCAAGATCAACTTCAGATGCTGAACTTGGATTTTCAGGTGAATTCCTCCCCAGATTCCTCTGGCTATACATCCAGCAAGTAGAGAGGGAGCCAGGGATGACTTGATGGGCTGGGAATTATTCTTTTTTTCCCGGGAAATCCACTCCTCATGAGCCAGACAATATGTTCTCCAGGTTTTTTGCATTCACACTCCTCAGCCCAGCCCTGGTTAGGTGTGTGCAAGCTCGAGCCAGGTGCACAGAGGCTCCTGTGCCTGCAGAGCTGCACCTTGCTGGCCTTCCATGCTCACTTGAAAGGCCTGGGCCATCCCTGGGCACCTCTGAAGACACAAAGGTGTGTCTGGAGGGCAGCATTAGCTCATGACAGCTGTAGGGAGGAACCTACCTTGGGTAGCCTCTGGTGCTGGCTACCTGCCACCTCATTTCCCTGAGTCAAGTGCAGCAAGCAGGTGCTTCTTGAAGTCATGCCAGAGGCAAACTACTGGCATAATCAGGCTCCATTTTACTCCATCAGTGCCTCTAATGAGGACGCTGTTTGAAGTTATAAATGAGCATGTGCCTGGAGCCATCAATAATTAACAACTTCTTGGGAAATCTTAATGAGGGCTGCTCTCCTCTGTAAACCCCCACCCAAAATCCTCCACCCACGCAGCTCCATCTGCAGTGTGGGAGTTCAGGGAGGTTGCTCTCATGGATCATGTGTTTCTGCAATGGTGGGGGTCAGCATGGTGGCCGTGGCATGGTGGGACCCCAGTGTGCAGGTGGCCCTGTGCATCCCTGGTGAGTCCTCATGGGATGTTCTCTTTGCACCCAGGCTGGGGCTGGTGGGGCTGCAGCTGCTCAGCACATCGTGGTCTTTGTCTAGCACCTTGAAAGTGTTTTCCTGCCAGAATCTTTGGTAGACTTTGCTCTGCTCATTTTGAGTGGCTTCTCCTGGCTCCTCTCTGGTAGCAATTCCAAAGGGGCTGTCACTTGGCAGTGCAGGTGGCACATTTGAAGGAACTTGGCTGACTTGCCTTGGCATAGCCAATGTGTTATTCCACACCCAGAACACTTTGCAAGCACGAAGCAGAATTGCCCTGGCCTCCCTCCAGAGGCTGTCCCATCCTGCTCCCAGGCATGTATTCCTCCATGGCGGGATAAATACCTGCTATTGCACTGGTTTACTTCCTTTGTCCTCTAATGGCATCTCCAAGAAGGAGCAAAGAATGGCAAATCAAAGGTAGGGTTGGGAATCTGGGCTTCACTGGCCAGATGTGTCCTAATGAGAGAGAGAGAGAGAGAAGGGGGACTGTGTGGTGTTCAACGGGTCCCAGGAAGAGGGAAGAGATGAGGATCTGACTCTGTTTTAGAAGGGTGATTTATTATTTTATTATATATATTATATTATCTTATTTATATATTATAATATATTTGTATATTATAATAGATATCAATATATTTATATATTTCATTATAAATTATATTATTTTATTATGTATATTATTAAAACTATACTAAAAGAATAGAAGAAAGGATTTCATCAGAGGACTTGAAAGGAAAGGGATAGAAAGGAATGATAAAAGCTTGTGTCTCTCAGAGAGTCTGAGCCAGCTGACTGTGATTGGCTATTAATTAGAAATAACTACATGAGACCAATCACAGATGCACCTGTTGCATTCTACAGCAGCAGATAATTATTGTTTACATTTTGTTCTTGAGGCTTCTCAGCTGAAAATATCCTAAGGAAAGGATTTTTCATAGAACATGTCTGTGACAGGGGACAGCAGTGCAGAGGTGCAGAGCTGAGCCTGTGCCTGTGTCCTTGGGGAAGAGCTGGGTGGGGTTCCTTGCTCACTGTCCACATGGGCTTTGCTCCACAGACATGAAAGCCACACCTGGAGCTTGGAGCGAACCGAGAGCCTGACTTCGGATTCCCAGTCTGGGATAATGCTGTCCTCGGTGGGAACCAGCAAATGCAACAGCCCGGCGTGCGTGGAGGCGCGGGCGCGGCGCGGGGCCACCTTCTGCCTGGAGGAGCAGCGGCAGCCCACGACGCAGTACCGCGACTCCGTGGACTCCCTGCGCGACTCGCCACACAGCGAGAGGTCAGAGCCCACTGCTTGTGCCACCACAGCCCAAAAATGTGTGCCTTTGCCAGCCCTAGAGTGGCAGTGCCACGGTAGAATTGGGGAGCTCCAGCTCTGGTCCTACCAGAGGATGCCCAATTCCCCCAGAAGGGCATTCAGGTCAGGCAGCAGCCAGCTCTGCACCCTGTAGGTTTGGAGCACAGGGATGATGGGTGTGGAATATGCCTGGCTGCAGTCAGCAACTGTAGAGAAAAACTGGCTGGGAGAACACCCTGGGCAGCTTGGTGGGCTGCCAAGCAGGGTCTGGCCCTCAGGTGCTTGGGGAAAAGGTGTCTGTCCCCAGCACCATCCTGGATGGCCAGGTGAGAGGGTGCTGCATGTGGGCACAGCCTTGGGACAGGACTTGGTAGGTCCCAGCCTTCAAGGAACACAACTCCAGAGCTGAGACACCAACAGCAGTAGCAGTTGTCCTCTTCCCAGTCTGGTTCCTCCTGGAGCAGAAGCACATCCCCACCCTAGTTCCAGCCCTTTGCAGGTGGCCATGAGTGACTCCTGGTGGCCACATGGCCCCTCTTGGGCAGTTGCCCTCCAAGGCAGTGGAACTTATCCATGGGGCAGAGGAGAAAGGCAGCATCTCCTGCTGTCATTCCTGTCCCTGGTCCATTCAGGCAGACTGACCCAGCTCCTATGGAGATCTCATACATCACAAAACACATGAGTAAAAAGGCCTGGGTGAGTGAGGGAGCCTGGGCAGGTGGAATTGGGCAGAGATACCACTGGGAATATAAAGAGGAAATAAGATCTGCTCCTTAGAAAGAGGTGGTGCTGAAGAAAGGGCTAGAGAGAGGGGCTAGACCAGACCTGAGTGACCTGATGTTTTCACTAGAGCAGATAGAAGTGGTAGATGGATTTTTGAGACACAAGATTTTTGCTAAGTCAGAGAAAGCAATGGCCAGGGTTTCCCCATCTGTGGCCTGAGCAGGGGGAGGGAATTCCAGGGACCTTCCTCAGAGACAAGCCTGGCAACTCCAGAGGGAACAGAAAGCAGCTGTCAGGCAGATGAGAGGCAGCGAGTGAAGCCATGACTCAGCCTGCTGGGAGATGCTGCAGGATTTGCAGCGATGCAGAGTGGGAATTGTGCACTGAGTCCCTTGGGAGAAGCATTTTGGGGGCTGCTCAGCACATGCTGCCCATTGAAGCCAGCAGCTCACCCTCCCCTGGCTCAGCAGTGCAAGGTCCCTGCAGCTGATTCCCCAGGAGAACTTCCAGGAGCAGGTTCACTGGAGGCTGTTGTATTGCACTAAATTGTTTATTTAGTTGTTGTTTTGCACTGGTTTATTAGAGATTTGCACAGAGTAGTCTTTATATTGCACTGAGTAGTTTATGTGATATCACATGGTTTGTTCTTCCCCCTCTCCTATCAAACAGTTTCTCCCTCACCCACCCCTGTCCCCAATACTCCCTGGGGGTCTCTACCCTGGTCAGTCCTTCCCCCTGCTCCTCCCCACTTGTATCCCATTGGTTGTGGTCCTCCTCCGCCCCCATTAACCCAGGTATAAAAGTCTCCTGCCCTGAGTACACAGTCTCTTGGCCACCTTGGAAATAAATGTACAATGTAGGTTCCCAGGTGGGGAAGAGCGCTTCCAGTCTTTTGCTTAGGTCTGTGTAAGACTGTGTGGGCTGGGGTCCATAGCTAGCTGCAGTGGACCCTAACATCCTGCCCAGACACAGTTCTTACAGGTGGGGCCCCATGTGTTTGTCTCCCATGACGGTCAGAGACAGCACACAGCAGCTGGTAATTCACATGTGTGGATTATGTTAGCTTTTGCGACTCCCACCTTCCTCTGACTTCTTCATCACATTCTGGTCTGACAGGAGGCCTCCTGGGTCCCTGGGCCGGGTGTTCAAAGTTAGCCCAGCAAAGGGTGGGCTCAGCTGGTGGTTTTTTGGTTGCTCAGTGTCCAAACAGAGGCATTGCTTTTGCAGGTACGTGTCGGCCCTGACCACACCAGCACGCCTGTCACCCGTTGACTTCCACTACTCGATGACCACACAGGTGCCCACCTTCGAGATCACGTCCCCCAACTCGGCGCACGCCGTGTCCCTGCCGCCGGCGGCCCCCATCAGCTTCCGCGTGGAGGAGCAGCAGCCCCTCCTGCGGCGCTACCAGCTCCCCTTCCAGGACACGCAGAGGTACGACAGCTACTACCAAAGGAAGACCTACCTAAACGACAGCATGGGGAGCCTGCCCTCCAGCCCCTTCCGCATCACGGAGGACGACGAGTACGAGACGACGCAGGAGTATGTCACAGCGCTAGAGCAGCCAAAGAAAACAGCCAGCAGCAACAGGCGGTGGAAAAAATCCAAACTGAACGGGCACATCCCTCACAGAGCCAGAGCCGTCCGGGACTCCTTCTCCTTGAGCAGCGCCTCTTACAGCGAGTCTGACGAGGAGCTGGTGGCCGAGAGCACGCCGTTCCTAAGCACTCAGAACAATGAGGCGGCGCACGCGGAGTCGCCGCCGCTGCACCGGCCGGGCGACAGCCGGACTCACTACTCGTGCCGCGGGCACAGCGCGCACGGCGATGGCGGCCGCGGCAGCAGCCTGGCGCACGTGGCGCCCAAAGCGGACCCCGACTCTCTCTAGGCGCATGGGCAACCCACGTGGAGCAGGCCGAGGGCGAGACAAAACCACGCAAACCCGCAGAACGTGACAAAACAGAACACAAAAAAAAAAACCCCACAAACGAAAAAAAATAAATATTTTTATTTTATATAAAAGAGGGAAAAAACAAAAAATATAACAAATAAAAATGTTTTATTTTCATTTTAGCAAAGTTGTCTTATAATAGCTAACAACAATGACTTTTTTATAGGGAATCTCTATTTATATGTAATGTCTTGATTTACAGCTTCCGAGAAAAAAAAAGTAAAAAAAAAAAAAAAAGAAGAAGAAGAAAAGAAAACAAACAATAAAGTTAAAAATAAAGTGGGCCAATTTTTGACTACTTAAAAATAGAAAACAAAACTATCGTGGTGCCTTTTGCTGTATGCTAGTGCTGGGATTCATGCCGAGGATTCTGTTTCAGTAGCATTTTTAAGGTCATAGATTTTTGTTTGGGAGACAACCTGTCACAAGGGCGCTCTTCTGTTGGAAGAAAACAGCCTTGCCACTTTGTCCCGTACCCTGCTATTAATGATCTTATTCTTTAAAGTATTGTTTAAACACACATTAAGGACATGAGTGGGAGCATTTCCATTATCATGTCTAATGAGGATCTGTCTTGCCCTGTAAACTACTTGTATTTTCGCTTAAATCAGGAGAAAAAGAAACCCAACAGCACTGTGCTGAAATGCAGAAATAACGTTTCTTTTGCCACACAGGTAGGAAGAGAAAACGAAATCGCGCAGCAGCAGCAGCCCTTACAATATAGCTCTCAACCTTTGGCCATCTCACTGGTGGGCCTGGAGTGGGGTTGGCACAGGTTTGTGGTGCAGCCAGGCAGACAGCCCTGTGCCAAGGGTGGATCACACCTGTCAGGTCCCCTTGAATGCGGGTGGCTGAGCCAGCCCCGTTCAGCCGCGGTGCCCGTGGCCACCCCGGCGCCGTGCTGGCCGCGGTGGGCGTCCCTCGGCTGAGCGGTGCAGCCATGGCTGGAGCTGTGGTGTCCTGGGTGACACCTTGGCCGGGGTGCTGGGGACACCCACAGGGTGGTCCTGTGGCACGCACGGCCGCGTGTCACCCTGGACACGGCGCCAGGCCATGTGCCCGGGGTCAGCAGCACCCCAAGCGCTCTGGGCTCCGCTGGCGTGGCCGGGCAGGGCCCTGCTGAGCGGATCCTCCCTCCGGCCGTGCCACGCGTGCTGTAAGGACAGTGGTGCCGTCACCTCCCGCCATCGGTGACGGACGGATGGCGCGTCCCCGCACCCGGAGCAGCTCTGGCCACCACCGGCTCTGTGGCGCAAAGAGACAGTCCTGCGTGTCCAGGCGGCACAGCACCCCCGGGGAAGTGCCCCCCTCTCCTCAGTTCTCTGCAGCAAACCTGTTTACATTGTAGCCTGACTTTTTTCTTTTTATATTTTTACTTCTGCATGTCCTTTGCATTTCAGATACTGTAGATTGGATGCATGGTGAAGCTGTGACTGAGAAGATAATACAACAATTGACAGTGTATTATTTCATTTAACTTTTAGCAATAAAGTAACTAAACCCTCTATTCCTCACCCGTGATGGGGTCAGATAGAAAACTCTGCTAATTTGTCATAAGATGATTGTCAAAGTTTGCTCTGGATTGTCTGAATGTCAGAACTCTTGACTGTTTAACACTTGAACATTTTTTATATTATAAATAAAATAAGAAATAACAAGCTGTGGGCTGCATTAATCTCAGGCCCTTTGGAGGGCAAATAGGGAGCTGTGACAGGCACCATACACAGAATCACACACTGGTTGAGGCTGAAAGAGACTTCTTCCACATTTCCTGCTCCACCAGCTCACCCAGAGTCAGCTGCCCAGGCCTGTGTCCAGTCAGGGTTTGATTATCTTCAGGGATGGCAGTACCACAACTTCTTTGGGTAACCTCTGCCAGTGTTTGGTCCTTCCCAAAGCAAAAATTTGTCTTCTTGTATTCAAACGTCATTTCTTATCTCAAAGTTTGCATACAGATTCATACTGTGTAGGCCTTCTGTCAAACCCTGAAAACTCTCTATAAATCCATTTCCCACACAAACTGGATTTGCCAATTTTTAATTTGAACTCTTTGCCTCATTTAGTATTTTAGGCCCATTGCCTCCTGTCCTGAACACTCTGAGGAGAGTCCTGCTCCCTCTTTTTCACTGCTATCCATTGGGTATTTATACACATGGATAAGGCCCCTCTGAGCCTTCTCCTCTCCAGGCTGGACAGTTCCAGCTCCCTCATCCTTTCCTTATGTGAGAGATGCTCTGGTTCAGCAAAGATCTTTGTGTCCATAAAGACCCATAGGTGGGTGTTTTTCTGCCTGGCATGGACATTTGACCTTCCTGCAGGGCTCAGGAGTGGAGGCTCACTGAGGTGAGTGACTGCTACCCACTCATCTCTGGGGGTGCCATTCCTCCTCCATCTGCAGATCAGGAGATGCCCCTTCCCTTGAACCATGGAAGTTTCCAGATGTGCCAAGAGAGGTCAGGATGCTTGTGCTGTGACCTGCCACCTATTCAGTGACTTGAGTGGAGTGAGGATGTGTTGGGTCCAACCCTGGCAGTGCCGTCCTGCCATGCAGCACTGACCCACCCACAAAACAGGACCCTTATTCAGCTCCTCCACGGGAAACCTGTGTCTCTGGCTGTCCCACGTAGGGACTCACTGACAGTGTGGTGTGGTCACAGGAGCACAGCCCCTGAGGTGGCACCCATGGCTCCACCCAGCTCAGAACTCTCTCCCCTGTTCCTGCTCAGTGACATGGACAGGTATCCAAGAGCCCCAGCTGAACTCAACAGGAGAGGGGTCTGTCACAGTGAGTCAATCCTATTGAAATGGATAGGTTGGAACACACTGATCTGGTTGGAACTTGAGGATTTTTAGTGTCCCTTCCAACCCAAATCACTCTATGATTCTACAAATGCCCAGAGCTGTGAGAGAACTGCCCAGCCCTCACAGTGCTGCCCATGCTGAAGGCCAGGCGAAGCACACCCACAGCCTGCTCCAACCCCCCAGGATGCCCATTGCCCTGGAGCTGACCCAGCTGTGTCACAGGCCACCCCAAACATTCATGGCATGTCCTGTGGGGCCTCCAGACAGACCAGAGGGCTCAGCACTCCACCCTGGATGAAGACATCTCAATTCTGGCTTCCCAGAAGGTTAAAGGCTAAAGGACCCTGCCCTCCTGCCCACGTCACCCAACAGCAATGTGCAAAAGAGGTGTTAGACCTGGGATAAAGGTGGTGGGGTCAGGTCCTGATTAGGGTGACATTTGCCTTTGGACACATCATGCCCCACATCTGTGCAGCCCCAAGCCTCACTGGATGAAGGCAGCAGTGCAGCTCTCCACTCTCCTGTTCCTCCTGGGACATGCCCCAGCTCCCATTGCCTTTGATCCATCTCAGCTCCTCCAGGGGCTCCCAGAGCAAGGTGAGATGGACAGGACTGGGCAGAGAACACCCCACCCCTTGGAAGGGACACGTGTGGATGATCACCAAGGCTGATCCCTGGGGAAACCAGACACATGGAAGAGAGAGATTGGGTGCCTTTGTCTTCCCAAAGCAGCCCCATCTCCCTGCCTGGCTCTCCTGGGGATCTGTGAGCACCACTCATGGAGAAGCCCCCCCAAGGCTGGCACAGCAGCATCTGCACTACAAGCAGGTACAGCTCTTGGGTCTCCATGCAGAACAACCACGGGGCCACATCTCAGGGTGATGCCTTGGAGGAACAGATCATCTCAATGCAGCTGATCCCCACCAGGAATCTCTCTGGGTCCCTTGAGGGAGAGAGGAGCTGTGGGTTTGCCCTGCACAGGGGGACACTTCCCTGCTCCATGGTTTGCAGGGATCTGTGATATTCTGCATCTGCTGAGACACCACTAGCTCTGAGCCACGGCAGCCTCAGGATTCTTTGTGGTGATTTTTTTGTTAAAAGTGCCCCTTGATTCCCATAATTGTGTTCTATATTTAGAGGCAGTTACGCTACTTCAATTTTCTCTCCAATTGCCTCTGAAGGGAGCCTGCATCTCTCTCTTTTTTCCCTGGCTGGTTTATTTTTAGACTCCTCATTTCCAGCCGTGCGTGCTCCTAGGGCTTTGCCGTAAATATTTTACAGCAATTTTCACAGGTGGGGGAGCCACCAGAGCCTCCTGACAGCTCTCCTCTGCGTGCATGGTGCTTTTAGTGCCCTTCCCAGAGGGCAGGGAGCTGCTTTCCTGACACAGATGGGTGGCACAAGCAGTGTTGGATCCTGGCTTTGGGGTCACAAAGTCTCCCCCACAACAAAGTCCCTCTAAAACAAACATGGTTGTGTCCAGGACAAGTGGCCTGGCAGGGATGTCAGGCTGAGCCACCACTGCCAGGTGAGGTTGTGAGAGACCCAAAGCAGTCGTGGTGCCTGCTGGAGGGGCTGGCACAGGCAGGGGATGTGCAAAAAGTGCATCTGAGAAACTCCAGGAGGAGAAAAGGATGTGGCTGCCTGATTCCTGTGAGATGCTGCTCTTCTCTCTTAGTGGTGGGTGCCTGAGTCCTTGACCTCCAGGGAGGGAGATAAGGCATAATAAAACTCATTTTCTTCCAAGTCACAAGCTGAGGCTGTGGATTGCACAAACAAGGCATTTTTGGCTCTGCCCTCATGTAGCTAAGATGCTCTCAACACATTTTCATGTACCTGTGATCCACCTGGATCAGGACTTGTGCATGAGGCAAACTGCAGGTACTCAGAAAGTTTAATACTCTGAGCTGTCTCACCAAGTGTTGTCTGCCATCAGCTGCCACCCCTTCCACATCCATTGGGTGCTCAGTCTCACAGCCCTGAGTCTCTTTCCTGCTGCCCAGAGCAGACTTTGCAGATCTTGCTTTTCTCTGCAAGTTACTCCCAGCTGAGGATGGCAGACTGGCACCTTCACCAGGGGGCTGAGCTGCTCTTGGTGGCAGCTCAAACACACTGGAGATGCCACTGCCACTGGAAGGGATGCTCAGAAAGGGAAGACTGAAATACAAAATATTACCTGGGATTTTGGAGACAAGGGGTTGGGCCCAGCTTTCCCCTGGACTTGCACTGTGAGAGTC